GCACCGGCTCACTTTGCTTGCTACCTCCCTCGCATGGTCCGCGAACGTGAAGGGCGGATCTAAACGGACGCCAGGGAGCTTTGGTTTGCGGACCAGCGGTAAAGACGCACCGTTGACGACGATAGCCGGGTGACGATTAAACTTCTTCGGGTCCAGCGTGAAAACAGGGACGGTCGACTTGGCACAGACAGCGGCGATCCTTCGTGCCCTCCTTGCGTAGTCACTCACTAGATCCAGGTAAAATTTCAGTGCTGAATACGGAGGAGGGGGTCACTGCGCCTTTTAATAAAAAAACCCTGGCTAGGGCAGCTCGCGGCTACCATCTCCCACGAGAATTTCAACCTCGTCGAATTTGAAGCTCAGGCCGGGCCCCCGTCAAATCGGTCGCGACCTGGTAATGGCGTTTTTTCTCTTCACTCTTGCTGTTCTTGAGAAAGCTGGCAGGCTGTTGGGCGTAGAGTTACCTTTCCCATAATTTTACCATATTTGGTAAATTATTCCGGATGTCTCCTGTCGGAGCAACGAATCTGTCGACCTCACCACCTGGCGTCTGATATTTTAATCTAGGCTGTGTGTAACCCCAATGGCAAGCAGTGTAATGGCTTCCAAGATGTTGTTACCATATGGGGCATATATGGCCTGGCCTTTCGTCTTGTTTACGCATGTACAAGAGTCGACCGAAAAAGCACGTCTGCTTCAAACTGGAGAAACGAAGCAGAAGATACTGCTATGATGAATGTGAATCAAACGCTTACCGGGCGGCTGACTGCAAATATTTTCCGGCAGTTGTAAGCAATTCAGTATTAAGCAGACAGACTAACAAATTAAATAAAACTCCTCAAGCGGTCAAATCTCCTGACCACAATCTGGCAATCCCATGCAGAATCGAAGGATCAGGACAGAAAGATTCAAAAGAAGTGGTAAGTAGGACTTACTTGTCATTACTCGTAAGGTCATATTTGCTGACGTCAGGTATACAGGTGACGCCCTGCTTCTTGAACTGGTAATCACCAAACGAGCGACTGACTTCGATGGCATTGTTTATACGTCCATTTAACACGGTGGCTCCATACTTGAGAATGCGTTGGCGTTCCTCGTACTCAAGAGGTGTGTGGTCCCTCGTCAGCGAGACAGCATAAAGAGACGCGGCGGACTTCTCGGGAACAACACGCTCTCCCTCATCACCAGCAGCAGCAGCTGCAGCATCAGCAGCATCCTCGTCAGCTGGGGTTACGTCCTTGCTTATAGACTCCTTTTCGGCGTCTCGAATCCGACCAAGCACAACCTACCGAAGTAGGCGAGAAGGCAGTTAAATTGCACCTAGACAAACATGATAAGCGCAGAGAAAAAGGACAGACAGAGGCGAGAGGATGCGCGCAAAAAGGAGGCCTGACCTGTGAGTGCTCCTGTGCCGCAAAAATCACCAACCTGTTGGGTAAACGTTAAGTTGATCGCTAGCATTAGATAATGTAATTGACTAACTACTATATACATTTAAGTAGTCGTAGTTATGTTTTACTGTTAGCTGCTTTCACTATTAATTCAAGCATTGCACCCACCCATTGCATCCTGTGGTTGCTTTTAGTTTTATTACTTTACTTGACCTTAGTTTAGTTTAAGTTTACTTTGGTTTAATTTTACTTTAGCCTAGCTTTAGTTTACCTTTAATGCCTTAGCGACATGCGGTTCCTTTTCGGCTTATCATTCTACAATATCTGTCGAAATGCATTACAAGCTACTGCGATTTGTAAAAAATGGTTTTACTTTAATCTCAAAAATTTAACATAGAGGTCATATAGGATTGTATCCAATTAGCGGGTACTATTTGCGCGGTTCTCGTTTCCTGATGGGCTAATGGTATTTAACGTGGGTGACCAACTTAACGTTTACCACTTATTGAATACTTGCGAGTGACAGGATTCCTCCGCATGACCGTAGTCGAAAGGGGATAAATAGTCAAGAGGACGTCAAACCTCAAGCCATGATTTACTTCACAGAAGCTAGTGGCACACTACATTCTGACTGTGCTATACTCCTCGTGATTAGTGAAACCATTTAGGCCCTGCTTTGCCTGAATCATGGTCATCCTGCCCGTTGGCCAGCAACAAACGCAACGATCTTCCTACTCCCTACTCGGCTCTCAGCATGGGCACAGACATAGCAGGCAGTGCAGCTGTCTTTCGTTGAAGGGCAGAGCAGTAAGGACTCCAGAGTCAGGGCAGTCAGCACGCCAATGGCCAGCGCTGATAGCGAAATTCCGACAGAAAACGAAACGGGCGAGGTCAAACAAACAACTGTCGTCCCAATTACTGACCCTGATGATGAATATTACGGCAGCTAATTTTAGCAGATACGTGGCCGCTACAAAATTCTGGGGTTCTGGATTCCGTATTGTTACCTATAATAGACTGATTTATAGCATAACGTTTTACGGTGAGAGTTTCACTCCAACCGATTTGACATTCCCGAACGATGAAACGCTAAAAAATACTACTAGCTACATTACAGTAACACTTTATATACTATTTATTTATAAAAAAACTATGGCTTCGCTCTCCTTCCATAAATATCATTCGAAGGTCTCCGCGGCCTTCCCTACTTGACTATCTGCATGCCGTGATAACCTCATCAGCGATCACATCAGTTACCTGGCGGCGATAGCCCAGGCGGCTCCTAAACGTTCGCCCTTGGTTCGACCCGCAGTGGAATGTTGACAATCTGGGCGGATATTTCTGTGATCAAATGGATCCGATAAAACACAAAGGAGACCGGAATGGCCATTTCTGGCTTGTTAGCCGTCATCAGCCAGTCATACTCAATCTCAGGTGGGGAGACCGGAATGGCCATTTCTGGCTTATTAGCCGTCATCAGCCAGTCATTAGACCGGAATGGCCATTTCTGGCTTATTAGCCGTCATTAGCCAGTCATACACAATCTCAAGGGTTGGAACCCCCGAGATTTGAAAACGGGACCTTTGGTCATTGAGTTTAATACTCTATCACTAGTCCACGGGCTCCTTGCTATTTCTGTTTTTCCAACCTCGTCGGCGGACTCTGAAATCAGCAAGGGATTATCAGGCCACTTACTCCGCACTTCGGTGATGATCCCGGTGACCTCGGCAATGCTTCCCCTCCCCCCGTCGGACCCTCTCTCCAAAAGCGACAGTTTTCTCACCTAAAAATCTCAAGGAGTTTTTATTTACTCTCTGCTCTTCTATGTTTCACCTCATGACTCATGTCAGTTGGCCTCTCCAACAAACTGAAATACTTATTCTGCTACCACGACACACATGTACACCCAAAGGCAACCCTCCTACATCTCCCTCAAATTAACTGATACTGATACCCTCAACACCTAGGTCTGTCAATGAATAATGTTATTTGGGTTTAAGGCAGTGATATTTTATTGAACAGCTAAACGTACTAGTGACGCCTGCTACCGTCAAGTCCAAAAGTAACTAAATAGAAGGAAAAATTGATGATTCCCTGTAGGATTGATCCGCAACTATCCACTATAGCGACCCAAATATGCAGCGGCTCAGGTCACAGGTTTTTGGATTGTAAAATACACGAAGCATATGTCAAATTCATCATCTACTGAACAAGACAAAGAAGGGGAGATGGGGAATTCGTGGACCAGGCGCAGAAACCACAAAACTTTGATGATGGAAACGTCAGTAGGAACACAATTCTGTCTACGAATTTGCCACCCTCCTCCAACTTTTTCCGTGTTCTTCGGAAGAGGATGAACGCGAT